GGTGTTAGCGTGTGTTTGTGTGTTGTGTTGCGTGTACATGTGCACATGTGCTAGACAGCTAGACAGCTAGACATGCAGGCGGGGTGAATGGGGGCTCACGGGATCAGAGGTGCCGCTGCGGTCCTTTGCAGCCAGGTCTCTGCCCTTGATGACGTTGACCCTCAACACCAGGCCAGCTGGGGCGGGCTGCTCGGGCATTGGGCGGGTGCGGGGGCTGCTGTTGCGCGAGGCAGGCACTGATGAGGCTGGGGTTTGCGTGTTTGGGGTCGAGGACGAGTTGTAGCAGCTGGTCGGGCGCTTGAGGCGGTGCGGAAGCGAGAGCCTGGTGGTAAATGTAGGACGGGGCATGTTGGCGGCCAGCCTCGGTCTGCCGACTGCACCGCCGCCGGGGCGAGGGGGGGCTGCGTGGCTACGCGTTCAATCAAGGCCCTGGTGATCGGTCCGCGGCAGCCAAGTATTGCTTGATGATGCGCCGCCCGTTGGCAGGACGTTGGCTCACGACATGTGCTACGCGCAATCTGCTCGGCTCAAAAATCGAGGGAAAAAAAGGGAGATGGAGATGTTTCTTCTGGCTGGGCGTTTAGGTTTAAGGGGGGAACGGACAAATAGAGAGAGCTTGGGGGCCGCCGCATATCTAGGCCTGTATGTGCACGCACAACAAGAGGGCTGAACGAGGCCGGGCTCCGCAATCTGTCTCTTGCGCCAGCATCGGCTGCGAGGAGCGCCTGCCGGGTCTTGCGGCTACTCCATTCACAGCGACCAAAGACGACGACGGCAACGACGACTATGCCGTCAGCGTCTTCAAATGCCGCACTCCCAAATCCCCATGGCCGCTGTCTTACTCGTCCGGGCCTGGCTGCTTTTAGACAACCCGCCCCCGAGTACCTATCCATATCTACTATACGCGGGCGCCTAAACCATCTACACATGCACATATGCCCGCGTCTGACTACATTACATGTACGTACATGTACCAGAGCCTCTAGCGGGGCACCCTCGGCGCACCCTATCTGCCCACCCATGTATCGACTTACATACATCCATGTGTACGAACGAGTGGGATGCTGCATAGCCCACCCCTCTGCGCTGCACCACCTCGCCCTTCAGCCCGTCCCAGCTGGGGGGCCTCGAGTGCGTCAGTTCTGTTACATACATCTGACTTGTCGCCGATTCGCCATGTTCCTGGCTAATCGGCACGTCTTGCTGGGGGGTCTTGGATGGAAAAGCCATAATTTGATGCATGCGTATACATGTGTATCTATCAATGTACATGAATATTAGATTGCTGCCAGATATGCCACACCGGCACCTGCATAGAACGGACCTACATACATACGTAAGTGTTTACTGTATAACAGAGGCCCACCCTAAATTGGCGGCGTTGTCTGGGCACCTCAACATGGCGCTCTGGGCACCCCTGGTTCCGTCCGGCTTACCCGTGGCTGGTGGCTGTGGCTTCTGCCGTGGCTGATGCAAGCCAAGCCCAAACTCTGCGTATCATCAAGCAAGACTTTTTTCCCGCATCTGACGTCGTTTTGTTAGTAGTATAAAACAAATTTTTGTCGTGCTTACCCTGTTCTACTACATACATGTCTTGTTTTCTAAAAATAAAAGAAATTCCCATGTTCAAAACCTCCTGACATCACACCCATTCCCTTACCCATCTTTTCTCCTCCACACGCGCTACACCTTCCACTTCCTCATCTCGCACCTTCCAAATTAAAAAGAAGAAAAAAACACAAACACACCCCCTCCCCTCTTTCAAATCACCACACTTCTCCCTCCCCACACAAACCATGAAACCCCTCCCAGACACCCCTCAAACTCTTTCCCCCCCTCGACTTGGCACCGCATCACTACTCCCTCGCCCATCCCCCCTACCCCATTCGCAACACACCCCAAAAGGCCCAGCGACCTTAGTCTCATCACCCCCCAGAAAATGCCAACCTAGTCTGACCTAGCTACTTTGCCATCCGGCCCGAATAACCACAGGAAGAGCCCGGTAAGCAAACAAAAAACCAAGACTAACTGGAAGAAAATAGTTAGGGTGGCCTAGGGGGGGGGGAAGGTTGCTGCATTTCGCCTGTATCCGGCACATCGTTGATCGTCTCCCAGGAATGGAGATTCAAAAAATACGAAGCGGCCGGGAGGAAGGGAAGGGAGGGAACAAGGGAACCCGAGGGGTCGGGTTTTGGGAATCTAACTTTTTTCTTCTTTCTTTTGTGTTAGTAGTTAGCTGGTGATTAAATCATGTATGTTGTTGTACATAGAGAATTACGCATACACACTTGGTCAGTTGATTTGTTTTTCTTTTTGATCCTTACCACCCCCCCCCCTTTTTTTTTGCTTCTGGAAACCCCATCCCCTCCGCTCCCCCCCTGCATATCGAGCGGAAGATTTGAGATTTCAAACAAGAAAAAAAGAAAAATATGGTATCATCAGTGTGGGAATCTGGGTGTCGAGAGATAGAGAGAAGAGAAGGAGAAAAAAAGAAAACAAGAATCAAAAGAATATAATGATATTACGTTCCTCCCTTCTCTCTGTCTTCCTGGCTATTCTCTCTCTCTGTGCATTAATTAATATTCGACATACATAAAGATATAAAAAGAAAAATAAAGCTGTTCTCATATACCAGGTTTTTGCTTTCATCATTTCACTACATATCTCACGCACGCTGTGTACATACTTGAAGCGGGGGCGGAACCGGCCAAATCAACAAGAGGAAATAAGTAGCAGCAAGAAAACAAAACGCACTCTCTCTCTTCTTCAAACAACGTGGCAAGTAAGTAACAAGGTAGCTACCGGAGAGAGCGAGAGAGGGTTTTAAGAAAAAGGAAAAAAACTGGACGTAGTATTAGGAAATGAGGAAACCCTCCCTCTCTCCCCTCCCCTTCTTTTGGCCGCTGCTACACACACATACACACGCGTCGGCTCGATGATCCCACAGAAATACTTTCTCGGCACCAAAGGGGACGGCGGTTCCAATGCCCAATCTCTCTGTCCAGGAGAAAGATGTTCAAGGGAGAAGAAAAAAAGGAAAAAAAGATAAGAAGAAAAAACCGCTTCGCAGATGGTGAATCCATGGCGTCTCCGGCCCGCCTGCAGGGTATCAAAGAGAGAGCGGTGCGGGCCGAGAGCAAGCCATTTCTCGACAGAAGCGCAAGCATGCAAAGCAAAGTCCACAACGCCTGTAAAAGGACATGAGGCATACAAGCTGTGATACAAGTTCAAGGTGAAAGAGGTTCGTAGACTCAGTCGTTCTCGTGCTTATATCAAGCCGCACAACCGCAGGTTCTCCTGGATTATAATATCTGCAAAAACTATTAGCGTTGTGCCCCCTCAAAACAAAAGTTACGTTACGTACCGTTTACTGCAGCCATGACGAATCGGATTTGCATAGTATCCGTGGCGCAGGTAAAGTGCGTGTAGATTTGCTTCGTCTCATGTTGGTTGAGTGAGACGAATCGGTTGAGAATGTAGTCGCATGCAGCCGCGTAGTCTGGGCCACCCTCGTAGTCGGGGAAGTAGTTCTTCATTGGGCTGACGGGAAGCTTCTCCTTGAAGCGATCAATCTTGTTGAGGAACAGAATGATGGATGTCTTGACAAACCACCGCGAGTTGCAGATGGAGTCGAACAATGTAAGGGCTTCTTGCATACGGTTGACAGTCTCATCTTCAAACAGCAGCTGGTCGTACTCGGAGATGGCGACCAGGAACAGGATGGTGGTGACGTTCTCGAAGCAGTGTATCCACTTCTTACGTTCTGATCGCTGGCCACCGACATCGAACATGCGGTAGGTGAGGTCGCCGATAATAAAGGTAGTCTCAGTGATACCAGTCGTCTTGACACGCGAACGGAGGACATCCTGGTCGTTGGGGATGTAGTCGGGCGCGGCAATGCGGTCAATCGAGTCGAAGTAGCTAACATGGTCAGTGGCGATGCACGGGTAAAATGGAGATAGGACTCACTATTTGGCCGAATCGTTGAGCTGGTACTCGCGCGAGCGCTGGAAGCACTGCTGCACGCCAGCATCCTTCCAGAGAACAGAGATGGCGTTTCCAACCTCTGGTGGCAGGCTGTCGCCCTCGATCTGGGCGGGCTGCATGAAGATGGTCTGGACGTGGTATTCGGCGCGCTGGTCGTCGAGCGGGAGCTCGAGCGACTCCATGGCCTCGAGAATGACGCGCATCGACTGGACCGTGTTGCTGAAGATGATCTCCTTGAACGACTCTCGCTCGTCGCGCGAGTAGCCGCCCTCGTGGATGAGCTTCATCTGCTTGAGGATAGTCGACTTTCCAGACTCTCCGGCTCCTATATTGTGTTAGAGCCTGTGTGAGTCGCAGTTGCAGGCGGCGCGCAATACTGACCGAGGAGCAGCATCTTGATCTCATTGCGCTGCATCAGCTTGTCGCGCTTGAGCTGATTCTCAATCTCCTCATTTCTCTGCTTTCCCTCCTTCTCCTCTGTGCTCATTCCGCAGCCCATGGTGGCGGTTAGGGACGGCGTCCGGTGTAGTGATTAGGGTTAAGGTAGGTAGCGATGTTCCGTCGAGGCCGGCCAACACGGAAACCTGGTAGGCAATGTCAACAAAGACTCAATGGGCGGTGGCGGGCGATGCACGAGTGAAGCAGCGCGCAGGCGGGCTTGGCCGGGTGAGGGAGGTGTGATGATGGGTAAGCAAGGCTGTCGCAATGGCAGAGCAACAGCAGCAGCGGCGGCGGCGAGGTCGAGTGCAATGGCGACGGCGAGATTGCGTGCATAAAAAAAAAGATGCTCACCTGTTATTACAAAAGACTAGGTCGCAATTGCGAGAGTGCTTGGGCGCGTGGGCGTGGGCGTGTGTTGAGATCAAACGGGGAAGGGGTAAAAGACGAAGAGGGTGTCAAGGGATGGCTGGCGTATGGAGGACGAGGCTCGCTTCGCTTCGCTCCGAGGTCTTCAGGGTTGCTGCACGGTCGGTTCGGGGGGGAAGGATCGACTGGGGGGGGGTGGTTCTGCAATGGCGAGGCGAGGCGAGGGCTCGGTTGGGCTGGCTGGTTGGGAGAGGACTCAGCAACGACAGCAACAAGCAAATGCGGCGGGAGGTGGCAGGACAACGGGCGGGAGTCGCTCGCTGCAGCAGAGGAATTATTGTGGGAGCCGGCAGGTTGGTGACGACGTTTGGGAGAAGCAAAGAACGAAAGGATTGTATGATGAGGGCTTGAAGAAGGCCGCGAAAGGAGACGCGCTTGCCGGAATGGAGCGGTGCCATCCTGGAAAGGAAGGGCCACCAGAGTCTAGCTGGGCAGGCGCGGGCCACTCTCTGCTGCTGCACCACAGGCACCATGGCAAGACCAGCACGACGGCACCACCGCGCAACCCACCGCAGCCCACAGCCCACACACGCACACAAACCCTCCGACACCTGCCTGTTCGTGTCTGCCGGCCTGGAGCGGCCAACCCTCCTGCTTGCGGCCTAGCTGCTACACCTGCTGTTACTCTTGTTGCCGCTGCCACGGCCTGCCGCTGTCTGTCTCTGTCCATGTCTCCGGCATGTCTCTGCCGTTGTTTTGCTTTCAGTCTCTGCTGCCTCTGCCTCTGCCTCTACCTCCAGCAACAACACAACAATACAACAACAACAACAATAACAATAACAAAAACCCCACGACCAAAGCTCCCGGCCCCTACACTCTACTCACGACACGCTACCCGACCTGCCCACTCCTCTCCGCTTCCAGGAACCCGTCATGGTACCTACTTAGTCGCCCGCCCGCCTACTCTCTCACTGGCTCGCTCATCTTTTCCCCTCTCGCCTCGTCTTCCGCTGGCTCGCCGTAGTAGTAGTCTATCTCTGATTAGCAATCGGCTCCGCGCCTGTCGTGCCCGTTGGACATGGAAGCGCTGTCCACCCATCCAACTCCCGAACTCATCCCGCCCGACTTTTGTCTGGCTACGCTTCTAGAAGGTTTGTAGAAAATGAAGGCCCCATAGAATTAAGAGTAGCCCGACGCTCGGAGCCCCAGCAGACCCCAAGCACGGCTCGAAACCTTGTCTTACTCCGCCCCATGCAGCCACACGCCTCCACCTCTGCACGCCCCCTCCCCTCTGCCCTGCCTTGCCCTACCTGCATTTGCTGCTGCATATCCACCCATTATATCTTGCCTCCTTGTCCGCCTCCCTATATGCTACTGCGCTTGTGTTCACACAGAAGGAAAAAATCTTCTGCTGTGCTGCTCTTTTCCGCCAGCCACTTGCCGTTCGCTTCCACTAAGCCTGGACCATGCTTTCTATTGGGACTTGACTATATTGGGCTAGCCCGAAAGGCCGCCTACATTCGCCAAACCTCCGTCGTCACATCCCCCCCTCATCTCCCCGACTCGCGCGCGCCAGAGCCAATCGCCGCTGACGCCTGTCTCTGGTTCTATCAACCACTCTGGTTATCCTAACGGTCAAAGTAAACCATGTTCCGTCGTCATCTTGCCTCAGCGTCGGGTGCAGGTGGCAATTGCCTTGCCTCGAGGGTGCTGATCAGCTCCTGTGAACGCGTAACGCTACTGACCGTTCGATTGACCTTTGCTGCATCTCGAACCCATTCTCGATCCCCTAGGCCCCCCAACAACCTACCACCCAGGCCCTTCCATTTCTTCGCCAGGATAATGCATTCAGAGCCACGGCTTTGGTGTCGATATCTTGACTCGAACACGCGGGACGATCCACGAACCACACGTGGAAGCCATGGCCATGCGTGAGCATTCGGTGAAAAAAAAGGGGGCATGGTATCGACCCAACAGACACTCTACCTTCGTGACAACGCTCACGCTGGTGCTTTTAGCTTTTGTCACCGCCCTCTTGTTGGTAATCGCTCCAGATTGCTCACGATCGATCGCCCGTGCTTCTCATTGCGTGCGTGCAGAGCACCTCAGAGTCATTTTGAGCTGATCATCATCTTGACGATGCTCATACACGCGCATAGACTTTTTCAATTGCCGTCTTATCGTAGGTGTGGGTGTAAGTACTACATAAGTATACACTGCATATGTGAGGTTCTTCAGTTTCGGTCCTTCCACACCGTTCAAGCTCCACAAGCTACGCAACATCGCAGTCCCAACTGCGTCATTCTGACTCGTCAAGTTCCTATGTCCACAACATCGGACCGTCTCGTCTGCGGACCTTCTCGTACACTACCATGGCTGCGATCTCATTATCCGCTTGTCGTTCGGGGATCGTTGCATCTGATCTGCACACCCGCAGGCAACTCTAGCCGCCAGGCACCATCGCCAAGCACGTGATGTCGATTGAACTGGAGTGGTTTTAGTAGGGCGCTTTGCAGCTTCCGCCCATTCCCCGATGCAGGTCCATGTTTAGTCCGGTATCAGGTATCCAGCATCCAAAAAAGCTACAATCAATTACTACACTGTTCAATCCAGATGCATGTAGTCAGGTGACGTTGCAACCATTGACAACGCAGACGCACCGTCAGTCGAGTATCGCATCATATGGACCAACTGCGGCCGTGTGCTGGTACGCAGAGTCCCGCATTGTCACGAATAATGCGCAACTGCAATGTATTTTCGTCTCCTGCATGCACGTAGGCCAAGACTCGCCTTGGGGTTCTGCGCAACGACTTTCCCGATGCCGTGCAACTACTGGCTGACGTGGTAGACTAGTTTTGTTCCTCAGCGCTTAGCGCAGCATGCCAGCGCCTAGAATAGCATCTTCGCCTCACCACACTGTGTAACCGACGCCTTTTCAGTCAATCATTCTGTATTCAATCCGTGAGCGCTTACCATGGGTGTCAACGGCCTCGGTATGCCCCCAATGTACCGTATCAGCGGTTGCTCAGGCACCGCCCCGACACGGCGCCTGGCAAACATGCCAGTACATATTGGCAGCCTACCAGCCGCCGCTGGCTTGACTTGGATACTTCAACAAAACTCCATGAAGCTAAAGACGTTTTACGAATTTCCTTGAGTCTTTCTCCTTCAATTTCCTTGTCTCCTTTCGCTGCAGGTCCAGCGCTTCCTTGCATCTGCCCTCATGTCTAGATCTCCTAGTGAGTACACTCTTTGACTTGCTCCGATCTGAGAGCATGTAGCTTATGTCCGCGCAGATCTCGTACAATTATGCTTCTGCGCCATTTCAAAAGGCCATGGATACCATCAGTCTTTTTAATATTAGCTTCGCCGTTGCTGGCAGCTCCTACTGTCACTCTTACACCACAAGCACTTCCTCAATCGCTTCAAGAAAACGTACCATCTTGTGCACAATCATGCCTACGGACTTCGCTGGACGAAAGGTTTCCTGTGGCATGCTCTGGCCAACAAAGTCTTCAGTGTCTCTGCTCTCGTTATAGTACCGCGGGAGAGTCACTCGGTGAAGTGGCTCTAGGTTGTATCTACTTGTCGTGCCCAACACAGGAGTCCAAAGATTATCTAAGTGCGGCCTACGGGATATGTCTAGGACAGGCATACGCCGTCGTGCCAACCAAAAGTGCTCTTACTTATGTCGTGACCTCTACGGCATCGCCATCTTCCACGCGGTTGGTGACGACTCCAATCACAACCACGGCCCCGACCATCACTTCGGCTCGGCTTACCCAGACCAGTTCGACTCAGTCTGCTTTCGCTGATACTGCCTCCCTAATGTCATCGTCTACTTCTTCAGCGACGCCCACATCGGCTCCAGTCGCCAAAGCTGCAGATGACAAGCCCAGAATGACGCCTGCACAGATTGCTGGGCTGTCAGTTGCTGCAGTGGCAGCGTTTGTCTTGGCTATCGGGCTCATGGCCTTGAGCGTGTGGCTAAGAAGACGGAAGGAGCAGCGAAACACTATGCTTATCGATGACAAGGGCCGGGGACAGCAGGACAAGGCGTTTTCGACACGGTTCTCGCATTACGTTCCCGTACAAGGCAACTCTGACTCTGCAACGCAACTTCCACCCATACCTGCACCGGCACTCGTTCAGGGGAGACGCCAGAAAGGAGTCCGCCCAGTGCAGCGGCTTGGAGTAGGAACTTCCAACAGCTCATCCAACTCTTCATTGCCATTGGATCAAATAGGCGTGGCTATAAGCGCAGAGCTGGATGGAAATCCTCTAGCTCCAAAGAAACCAGCACCGGCTGCGATCCAAAAGACAATTCCGGGTAATAACCAGCCACAGGCCAGCAACGTCATACGCCCCATCAGTTCAATGACAGAAGAGACTGTTTTTGAAGAGGATGAACCAGGCTCGCATCGCAGATCCTCGATGATGCCGCCAACGCCTCAAGTTCCAGTCCTACCTATCCGCTCATTGCAACCCGCTAGGACAGCACCGTATCCCAACAACAGCAACGCTCGTAGGAATAGCCGAAACTCTGAGTTGTTTCTAGAAATTCCGCCCAACAAGGGCGGACAGCAATCGAAACGGATGGTTGTTGCAGAACTGCCTGGGAACAGTGCGCCACAACCTCGTCCGCAGCCCGCGACACGCCCACGTCTCGCATCGCCTTTCCAGCAGCCATCCACAGCTACGTCATATCAGTCCAAAGCTACAACCGCAAGCTCGCGCGAAGACAGCACCTCGGGAGATATCATTGACTATTACTTTTCCAATCATCGAAGCCGTGAGGCGCCTAAGGCTAGCCCTACGCGCATTATTCGGCCTAAAGAGTCACCCAAAACAGTCGAGATCAGGCCAAAGAAGTCGTCTAGTACGCTTTCTCGGACTTGGACGAACCAGCGTGATTCGTTGTCTAGCCAGACGTCTTTTGAAACAGTCGATGCCAACGATCCGACGCCTGAAGACGAAGACGACCAGAAACAGCTTTCCGACGACAGCAATGTACCGCAACTGTCACCGGTCGCGGAATCTCCAATTTCCAATTTACGGTATCCAAAGGTGCCGCGAGCCTCGAATCAACTAGTATCACGGAGCCCACAACAACACAGGTACCAGAGTCCACACCGGGTCCCGAGTGCATCGTCACTTCTTCATAAACGCAACAACACTCTTCCCCCGCTTCTTCTTGAATCGCGGCCCCGACTTGAGAGCCCACATCGTGACCCGTTCACATCGCCGCCCCGCCGTGTCGTCAGCCCACCTCGTAACAACGGCCGCTCTCATGTGCGTAGCATCAGCGCCGAGTCATGGAACATGACACCCGCCTCTAAGAATAGCATTGATAGAAAAAGCCGTGTGCAGAGCGGGGCGTGGGGTAAGAGCCCGGTCATGTACGAGGAACAGGCTGTGAGGCCGCTAAATGTGAGGAGGAAAAGAGAGGATATGACGGAAGTGAATATTGGAAGAGACGTCAATGTTGACTTTGACGTAGACGGACTTAAGAGTCCTATCTGGGTTCCAAGACTGACACCGAGGAAGAAGGGTGAAGACCTGTTTCTAGAGGTTGGGTGGGGAGATGGTGTGCGAAGGTGAGAAGTCCAGCATACACGGAGCGGGCGATTGAGTTGATTCTTGACTATACATATACCCTTTCGTTTGTCTTGTGTATAAAATTTTCTAATTTGGAAGGGGGGGAATGGGGGGCGGAGACTGAACTTGAGACCTGACTGTACTTTTCTTAGCGTTATTTTTTACATGTTTACTCATTATCTCTTGTTCCATTTGCACACAGGCGCGCGTGTCGCTATAGATGGATCGATTGGTGCTTGGCGCGCAGGCTCTGGTTGGTGGTTATCAGGGTATTAACAGGGTAAAATGGGCTCCGAGTCCCGCTTAGGGCTAATTACAATATCAACACCAAACCCCACGTTGTCACAGTCGTTGACTGCGCCCTCGGAGAATAGGTTAAATAACCGGCTCTAGTCCAGACGAGGGTCACTCCGTAGAGGAGACTTTGAGCCTCAAACAGCGCTTCGGCCGCGGCGCCGATCTCGGTTGTGTGTCGGCCATAGGCGCCCGGAAGAATTACTTTGTGGTTTGTTGTCGGCTTTTGCTCTGGCCGGTTGGCTCAGGGAAGACGATGAAACTGGCAATAGAGAAGAAAAAAAATCCAATGGCCGTGGCGGTCGGCGCACTGTGACCCGAATACGGTGCTTCTCGGCGCGTGGCGAAAGAGAGAGAAGCAAAGGACAGAGCAGGCAAGAGGTTAGTAAGAGACAGTCAGTGGGCCGGACTGGCAATTAGGGTGTCCTGGTCAGCGCAATTGCGGCTTACTCTATCTGCTTGCATTGACAAGAGAGAGTGGGCTGTGGGTGGGACTGATTGATGTAATCAGGCTGGCTCAAAAGGACCCCACCTACATGTCCACTTTTGGTGCATCATATCTGAGGCAGGCATGACGGCCTTAGCACCCACCCCCACTACCCTACAAAACCTAAACACCGTAGCTCGCTGTCTTCCGCGATCTTCTTTCTTTTCTCTTCCAATCCGTTTTTCATCCACAGTCTGCCCATCATGCCGTACGGAAAGACTGATGAGCTTGCCATCAACACCATCCGAACCCTAGCGGTACGTCTCTCTTGCCTCTTGTTCTCCCTCCCCCGCTATGCTTGCGCAGCTGCCCCGCTCGCGGCAAGCTTCTCTTCCGCCCAGCAAGCAAGCTAGCATTGCAAGCACCGATCATGAATTACACGCTGCAGAACGACTCAATGGCTGACTTTTTGTCTCTTTATAGGTCGATGCCACATTCCAGGCCAACTCGGGTCACCCGGGTGCGCCCATGGGCATGGCCCCAGTGGCCCACGTCTTGTTCAACAAGTTCATGACGTTCAACCCCAAGAACCCCCACTGGGTCAACCGCGACCGCTTTGTTCTTTCGTACGTATTCTTCTGCTTTTTTTTCAATTTCCAGTGGCATCCGCCCTCTACATTGCGGGCAATGTAGCTAACTTGAGCGCAGCAACGGTCACGGATGCATGCTTCAATATGCGCTCATCCACCTTTTCGGCTACGATGTCAGCATTGAGGACCTGAAGAAGTTCCGTGTAAGTAAATACATTTTTTTTACGCAAAGGGCAAATTCTAACTCGTCGCAGCAAATCGACAGCATCACACCCGGCCACCCCGAGTCTCATGACACCCCCGGTATTGAAGTCACCACTGGCCCTCTCGGTCAGGGTTTCGCCAATGCCGTCGGTCTCGCCATTGCCGAGAAGCACACCGCAGCCGTCTTCAACAAGCCCGGCTACGAGCTGATCAACAACTCCGTATTCGTCTTCTTCGGTGACGGCTGCGCTATGGAGGGTATTGCCAGCGAGGCTGCTTCAATGGCTGGCCACTTGAAGCTCGGCAACCTCATTGCCATCTATGACGACAACCACATCTCCATTGGTAAGTTTCTGGCAAATTCGCCAAATAGCGACTTGGACCTAACTTTTTTGCAGACGGTGACATCAAGTGCGCATTCACTGAGGATGTCTCCAAGCGCTTCGAGGCGTACGGCTGGCACGTCCAGCACGTCCCCGACGGTGACACTGACCTCGAGGGCATCGAGAAGGCTATTGCTGAGGCCAAGAAGGTCACCGACAAGCCCTCGATGATCAAGCTCACCACCACCATCGGTTTCGGTTCCGTTCTCCAGGGTACCGGCGGTGTCCACGGCAACCCCCTCAAGGCCGACGACTGCAAGCAGGTCAAGGAGAAGTTCGGCTTTGACCCTGAGAAGATGTTCCAGGTCCCCCAGGAGGTCTACGACATGTACCACAAGCACGCAGCCGAGGGTGCTGCTGCTGAGGAGGAGTGGAACAAGCTCTTCCAGAAGTACGGCGAGGAGCACAAGGAGCTTCACGCTGACCTTACTCGCCGTCTAACTCGCGACCTTCCTGAGGGCTGGCAAAAGGCCCTTCCCACATACAAGCCTAGCGACCCTGCGATTGCCTCAAGAAAGCTCTCCGAGTCTGTTCTGGAGGCCATCCACGACGTTGTTCCCGAGCTTCTCTCCGGTTCTGCCGATCTGACTGGCTCCAACAACACAAGGTGGAAGAAGGCCATCGACTTCCAGCCCCCGGATCTCGGCATTGGCGAGTGGTCTGGCCGATACCTGCGATATGGTGTCCGTGAGCACGCCATGGCTGCTGTCATGAACGGATTGTCCGCATACGGAACTATCATCCCCGCTGGCGGTACTTTCCTCAACTTCGTTTCATACGCTGCCGGTGCCGCCCGTCTGTCTTCGCTCTCACACCAGCGTGTCATCTACGTTGCTACCCACGACTCGATCGGTCTTGGTGAGGACGGTCCTACCCACCAGCCTATTGAGACTCTTGCCCACTTCCGTGCTCTGCCCAACATGATGGTGTGGCGCCCAGCCGACGGAAACGAGTGCTCTGCTGCTTACTACATGGCGCTCACTTCCAAGGGCACGCCATCCATCCTTGCCCTTACTCGTCAGAACCTGCCCCAGCTTGAGGGCTCAACACTCGAGAAGGCCATCAAGGGAGGATACGTTGCTCTCGAGGACAAGGACGCCCAGATTACCCTCGTTTCCACTGGTTCCGAGGTTTCTCTCTGCCTTGAGGCCGTCAAGACCCTCAAGGAGCAGGGCATCACTGCCCGTGTTGCTTCGCTTCCTTGCTTCGAGGTCTTTGACGCTCAAGATAAGGACTACAAGCTGTCGGTCATCCCCGGCGGCATCCCATCGCTCAGTGTTGAGGTCATGTCCACCATGGGCTGGGAGAAGTACTCTCACGAGCAGTTTGGTCTGAACCGCTTCGGTGCTTCTGGACCATACAAGGAGGTCTACAAGGTAAGAATCATTGAATACTTGAAATGCTTGAGACAAATGCTAATGCCCATTACAGAAGTTTGAGTTTACCCCCGAGGGTATTGCTAAGCGTGCCAAGGCCACCATTGACTTCTACAAGGAGGTCAAGCCTCTGCGATCTCCTCTTGACCGCGCTTTCCAGCAGCTTATCTAAGTGTTTGGTAGCGTAGGATTAGTTCTGGGGGCAGAGGAATCGAGCATAGCCTTGTGATGAGTGACGAAATTAATAAGCGGCAGCCCGCTTGAAGAAAGATATCAACCAATGTATAGAATTTGATTCATTTGACAAATGTTTTTATGTGTAGAGTTGACTTGTATGCGATTGTTGTGATGAATTTGGCCCATTTTCCCTGCATGACGCAAAGGTGCCTGATGGTGATGATCGGCGGGCGTTGTCCTCGGCTCCGGCGCCGCATGGTCAACTTTTTGCGACATCATTGCCGCCATCACCACACACGGCTAGCATGTCGCGGTCCGGCAGAAGCAATGTTGCTGCTGCGAGTAGTAGGGAATCGCCATCGTCGGGTGGCATCTTTTCAGTCCCTGCACCGATAAAGCAACTTTTCGACCAATTCCCGCTCCTCACATACCCCGTCAACGAGTTCCCGCAGCGAGCACCACAACACCATAATGCACACGTGCTGTACGTCTTCACTACAGAGGAGGGTGCTCGTCGAGGGGCACCATCCTATAATCCAGCGTGCCTGAAATGGCAGGTCAGTACCTGGTTGCGCATTCATTACCCCACCACAGGCTCACCATGTCGCAGGCATATCTCAAGTTCTCCAAGATACCGTTCCGAATAGCCTCAGCGAACAACCATGCGTCTCCAAGTGGCTCTCTACCATTCGTCATTCCCTCCTCGGATTCAATCAAGCCATCACAACCTGTACCGTCGAATAAGCTGCAGCGCTGGGCAATGAACAATAGCGACAAGGCAATTGAAGAGCCAGGAGATGCGCAATACGAGGCATACTTGAGTCTGATAGACCACCGCATACGCAGAGCCTGGGTACGTCTGGCTTAGAAAGGAATATTTGGGCTACGACTAACATATGCTAGCTGTACGCTGTGTATCTCTCCCAGAATTCCACCACCATTGCCGAGCCTCTGTATATCCTACCGACCTCGCGCAACTCGTTTGTACGTCTCGCAATATCCCGCGAACTGCGCTCAGCCGCCGAAGCCGAACTCGCCAAATTCTCCAGCATCATCAGCGACGAGACGTTGTATAACCAGGCAAGCGAGGCTTTTGCTGCATTGGAAACGCTGCTGGGAAAGGACGATTGGTTCTTTGGAGCGCAGAGACCGGGCTTGTTTGATGCGAGTGTTTTTGCATACACACATTTGCTGTTGGATGATAAGCTGGGCAGGGGATGGGTGGACACGCGGTTGCGCGACGCGTTGATGGCATGTAAACACCTGGTCACGCATCGAGAGCGGATTTTGGCAAAGTATTTTGAGAAGTCTGGATAGACTCGAGGGATTGTATGTACGCTTTACGACCTGTAATATTAACAATTAGATGTGAATACCATGCAGGACACTGCTGATACGTGTGTGGATTGTCTGGACTCTATCTTGGAACGATGGATTGTGATTAGATGAAAGGCAAGCAGATGGCTAATGTTCTTTAGTGCGAGCCAGAACACGGCAGAGGGCGCAGATGTGAGTCATGTCACGGGAGCCTGCACGACATATTTCCCGATTAGGCAATTCTGAATACAAGTTCAGCATGGGGAGGGCGTGGAGAAGATTCATTGGCTAAGGGACCACAACTATATAGATGGTGTCAGGCACCCATCCAGCACGACAAGAACGACAACAAAGCAACTCAAGCTCTTTCTCTTCCAATTTACCTATACTCAGATTGAGAAAAATGACACAACCAACGACTATTGACATGACATTCGACACTTCTCTTGTGGATGTCAAACCACCCACCATTGACGCAAACACATCTTTTTCAACTGTCGAATCAGATCAAGCAAATACATCTACTGTCCAGCCACGACCCCAAGTACCAATCCACCACATACCCACGCAAGACGCATACAACCAATGGGCCTCCCAATATGACTCGGACGGCAACATGCTCCAAGCCATCGACGACATCGAACTAGCCGCCTTCCTGCCCACCTTCCTCTCCCAAATCCCCAATCCCAACCCCTCGATCTCCTCCTCCTCCTCCTCAGAAAGCCCCCTCCACATCCTCGACCTCGGCTGCGGCACCGGCCGCAACACACTCAAACTCCTACGCCACTTTACCCAAACCCCCGCTCCCTCCCAATCTCGCACTAAAATCATCGGCATCGACTTCTCACCCGCCATGCTCACCATCGCCCACTCAAAACTCTCCCCTTATCCCCCGGAAACCTGGGACTTACACTGCTGCGACATCTTCTCCTCACCCCCTTCCTCCTTGCCCATCCCCGCCGTCCACGCCGTCCTCTCCACCCTCGTCCTCGAACACATTCCCCTCTCAAATTTCTTCTCTACCCTCTCTTCCTTACTTTTACCCTCTGGTGTAGCGCTGATTACCAATATGCACCATGAAATGGGGAGGTTGGGTGGGCAGGCGGGGTTCGTGAGTCAGCAAGGGGTCAAGGTTAGGGGAAGGAGTTTTTTGCATAAGGTTGATGAGGTGCTGGAGAAGGCGGCGGAGAGTGGGTTTGAGGTCCTGGGGGTTAGGGAGAGGGAGGTTAGGAGGGGGGATTTGGATGGAGGAGTTGTGGGGGGAAGGGGGGAGAAGTGGGTTGGGGTTAGGGTTTGGATGGGGGTTTTGGTGAGGAGGGTTGGGTGAGTGTGTGGGAGGTGGAAGGGGAAGGAAGAGTTGTGGGGTTTGGGTTGATAGAGAATGGGTGGTTGGTTTGGGGAGGTAGATGGTGTAGTTTTGATATTTTAGGAGCTTTCTTTTACGCCAGCTTTCAAGTTTCTATTCTTTAGTTATGTTGGTATAACAAACTCAATGGAAGAATACATTGTATAACTTTCAGCTCTCCATACTAAGATGAGATATAATTGATTGCTCCCCTATGCTGAAACTCAGATCGTATGCCTTTACACATGAGAATCCAAAATAGTGAGCTCATGAAGCAGCGACCATACCTCACAAAAACAAGCAAACAACCATGCAATAAGAACCCTCAACTACCATTCCTGTCTCAAAAAAAAACATGCGACTACTGAACACATGCTTCATGCAATGAATCCATCCCTGACCCAAACCAAAAGTCATCATGACGTCAATCGCTACATCACACAGTAAAATACTCCTACTACTTTACGGATTTCTCCACAACAAACAGCCTGAAAGTCTCAATCAACAAAAAAGCCCACAATCACTTCATCAGAAGCGAACTCCCAACACGACAGTACCATGGACGCACTCCCCGTAAACAACAAAACAGCCGGCGAAGCAGAAAGCACGTATAATAAAACACTCGAAACAGGTGCTGGAGCGACTCAGGTAAGTTTTGCAGTCTCTCCCAAAAAAAAAAGATAGTTATCTGAGTACAACACTTCATGACTGATTATTTTCGCATAGAATTTTGCGCCTGTAAAGCGCGTCTGCGCCCATCTTAATGCGTTCCACGCGTATGCCGACGATCCCAAGCGTGCTGCCGTGGAGGCAAATCACTACTGTGCGCATGTCAATGAAGAAGTGCGGCAGTGTATTCTTTACGACTCGGCTGAGGCAGGGGCTCGTATTATTGGTATTGGTGCGTTACATCCGCCTCCCCCCCCTACGCCCCTTCCCTTTTCTCTACTTGAAAGGAAGTAAATAGTACCGTACTGACTAGGCCAAACTCAGAATACATGATTTCGCCCAAACTCTACGACACCCTTCCGGTCTCGGAGCAGAAACTCTGGCACTCGCACGTCTTTGAAGTGAAATCCGGTATGCTAATCATGCCGCGCCCCTCGTCCATCCCGGAAGCCGCCTGGGAACTAGCCGAGAACCGGGAGATGGAAGAAGTGATCCAACTGTACGGCAAGATCTACCACTTATGGCAGACGGATCGAGGCGATAAGTTGCCCTTGGGTCCCCCGCAGCTTATGACGAGTTATACGGCCGAAGACCAGATGCCGGATTTTGAGGAGAGGATGAAGGAGAGGGATCAGAGGTTTGAGAGTGATTATACGAGGAAGAGGGGGGTCAGGGAGTATATTGAGGTGCCGCAGATTCATGAGAATGCGGATGCGACGTGGGCGAAGGGCGGGATGGGACATTGAGTGATGGCGATGTCGCGGTTACGGTTTTGGGGGAAAATTTAGCGCGAGCGTCGGATTTGGTACGCCGGGGAATTGTAGCATTGGGGGGTTATCAATGTTTCCCTCGCCTCCTCGTTAGGGACACGATTGTCAGGTGGTTATTTCTTTGAGATGTTTGTCCCCCAAACGGAAAACCTCGGATCTAAAACGTGGATTCGTCGCATCATGAGCCGGTCGTGTTTGGAAGAACCTCAATTTTGGCCGGGTCGGGTTTTTCTCGTCGCCCCAGTAGTTTTCCCAAAACATCCTTTTCTTTGTTACCGTCTTCTTCGTCGGCGTCACTCGTGTCTTCGGTGTCGCTCTCCGCTGCGTTTGGATCTTTTTCTTCCAGCACGCCGAGTCCGAGATCCTAGGTCGTTTGGTTAGCAAAAAACTTGGGACTTGTCTTTGCCATTTTTTTTTACCAAACAGGCACAACACTCACCATTTCAATGTACGGCTCGCCTTCTTCCTGGTCCTCGGCATCCAGTCTCCTCAATGTACCCGCCCGCTTCTGTGCCTCGAGCTCTTCGTTTGCGGCCTTGAGGCGCGGCAGGAAGTCCTTGAGAAAACCTCTGATATCAGGTCCCATTTCAGCCTTTGTCAGCTTCATGATGGGTTTTGTGCCTCTGTTTGCGCGGAGGTTGACGACGCCGTCTGCGCCCTTTGCTTCGTCTAGCTCCATTTGTGTGTCTTCGCCGTCGTCATCTTCGTCATCTTCTTCCTCGCTTGAGCTCTCGTCGCTGCTGGGCTCTTCGCTGGATTCAGAGAGTGTGCTATCTGTGTCTGAAGTACCATAGTCGCTTGCGTTTGTCGCCGTACCGTCTGTAGCGTTTGTTGATGCAAGCGCGGATTGCGACGACATGGACGGCGAGGAGCTGGGCTTCGTGCGATGCGGAACTGAGTCGTGCGTGTACTGTGCCATGGCTTTCTTCGGCGGTATTAATCAAACAGGGTCGTGACCTTGGCGAATGTGAGAGGGAGGGACTATACGAAGGGGAAAGGTAACACGGGTGTGATGTTTAATACAGAGTGGACGGCTTGAAAAAAGTTGTGCAAAAGTTCGGGCGCGCGCCGCTGGACCATTCTTTTGCGGAACGGGTGCGCCGAACGTGCGCAAAAAGATAGACCGGCGGCAGGATTGCTACGTCACCCCCGCCCGCCCGCCTCGCCTCGCCAGCCCTAGCTAGCATCCTTTAATCGGACAAAGATCAGCATTACATATTTACTTCTGAGGGGGAACTGCCTGCAGTCGGTATGATCCGAATGCATGTCGGATGGAGGTGCATACCGACGCCGGCCGTGTGGCTTGTTGCGTTGTACGTTGGCCTGAGGCCTCAGGTCCATTCCCATTGGTGTCAGCAGGGGTCTTGAAACGGGGTCTTGAAACGTAGTCAGAGCGGGCGTCTGCATGGCTGACCTTCTCTCTCCGATCGAGCCTCTTTAAAGGGTCCCCTATCTTGCCTTACAACATATTCACTTCTTCCAACGTCTTCTCCGCCAGTCCTTTGTTTTCTCTGTCTGCCGAGCCTTTGTTGCTGCTGAACACCTCTTCACGTGCGAGTAAACTGTCGGTGTGAACGCAATTGCCCCTCTTTCAGCTGGTCGACGAGCATTACCATCGGGGTGTCAACATATTGCTGTTAGGTTACAAGAGAAACGTGCGGACTAGTGTTAGGTATGTTTTAAGTTTCCTGTCATTCTTCTAGTCGACCACTCAATCCCCTTCAATTCGCTGGCTCCTCTGGCTATTTGTCTGTCGGGCGTGCTTGGCGGAAGCCTGGTGTAAGGACTTTCGTCCCGACAGCCTTGAGATGTCTGATATCAGTCATATATCTTCCTCAGCCATGGTTTCACCATGGATTCCTTATACGTGTAAACACCTACATTTTCGGGTTATCTTCACGTGCTGTCCGACGACATGTCCGCACCACTACCGTTTCAGGCTTTGCAGCGTTTAGATGCCTAGGCGGAGATGTAAGAGCTTTGCAATTGCTCACCCTCAAACATCTTTCTGCCTTCAAACCCAGCAAACAGTCCCAGATCTGCCTCGCATTTCAAGTCCCGGATATTCCCAACCTCGGTCATGTTTCACAGCACATCTCATGTCTATTCGTTTTGTCACGATTTATCTTTGCTACTTAAATGCTGACTCTGCACAGATTAGGATTCCTGCTCGCTACCACATTTCAGTGTCTCTTCTCTGGAAAGTCTCTACGCCACCAAGCACAGTGTACCTTAGCCAACAAGGTCACGTAAGAGTCCAAGATTGATTTTTGATCACACATCGGCATTTAAAGAGGAATCCCCTTGAGCCTACGTCGTTCCGTCACTTAATTTATTCAACAATCATTCATCATGGCTGGCCGATTCCCCGCGCTCAGCACTTCCAACCTCCCCGCTGCATCTTCTGAAGAGCAGGCAGCAACCGCATCACCCGCACGTGGAACCGCAATGCTCAACAACATCTTCAAATCGGTGCGTGTTCCCGAATTCCGCTTCAAGTGGATGTTCTGGGCCGAAAAGGGACAGCAAGCACCGCCCAAGGACAAGGCGGCGGCATCGGAAGAATATCTCACACGCCCCAAGCCCCTGGGTGATCAGATTGTGTCGGTCAAGGAGTTTTACCAGCACTTCAACAACATTCCGGTTGAGAACCTCAAACTGCGCGACTCGATACATCTCTTTCACTTGGGCGTCAAGCCAGTATGGGAGGACCCACGAAATACGCGTGGAGGAGCATGGTACTTTAAAGTCAGCAAGGACCTTGCAGCGCAATTCTGGCACGAAATGTGTCTGCTCGCTGTAGGTGATGTGTTGCAAGGGGCCGTTGAAACGAAGCGAGCTTGTAAGTTCTATTTTCAGCAATCTTTCGTCATTATAAACTTTACTGACCATGCCAAGCTTTTAATGATGACATTTGTGGCATTTCATACAGCGTTCGTTGGAACGCGGTCCAGATTGCTGTATGGAACCGCGACGCAGAGAACGAGGAAGGCCGCCAGAAGCTACTGGCGGTTATTCTCGACAAGCTCTCTGAGGAGCTACGGCCGAAGAAGGAGGATAGCTACTGGTACAAGGCGCACAAGGAGCACAAGGGCTTCATTGAGCAGCAGTGAGCGGATTGTGTACAGGCTATGGATGATGGTAGAGCATTCTTGAATTAGCATGAGATAGGCTCAAGCGACCTTGGATTGTTGCATACTTGCATAAGATAATCGGCGTTTTCGAATACATCACTTTGAAGTCGTTTTGGGTGCACCCGTGCTATAATATCGAGTGCCTCCAGTCTGACTTGCAACCCCGCCTTTCAACTTTGCCATGCGCTGCGGATTCTCGGAATCAGGTGTGAAATACGATGAACTCACACAAACAGCTTAACAACAGGTTTGTAGTGCCTTAAAACGCCAATCTGAATTCCCCATCCGATCCAGACTATCCGTCAGGCAACGGCCATGGTGCGCCAATCATGAGCATGGTTCGCCGCAAAGCACGGGCCACATGTAGAAGCATCATCCACTTCTCATAATCCTCCGCACTCGAACCATTGCCGCCTCCCACCATCCAGTCGTCCCCCCTCTCAACCGCCCAACATGGCCGCGATTCCCACGTCTCTCTTTCGCTGGGTTGTTCCCGCCGCCATTGGCGCCAGCGTGGTACAATCCTCCATCTACGATGTCAAGGGCGGTACCCGCGCAATCATCTTCGACCGTCTGTCGGGAGTCAAGGAGACTGTCGTCAACGAGGGCACACATTTCCTGATTCCATGGCTGCAGCGGGCCGTCGTGTTCGATGTTCGGACTAAGCCGAGGAACATCAGCACGACGACAGGAAGCAAGGACTTGCAGATGGTTACCTTGACACTGAGGGTGTTGCACCGACCGGAGGTTAAGCAACTGCCTAAAATCTACCAGGTAAGGATGCAACCACGAAAGAAATACCATGGCTTGTTGAAAGCAGGTGTTTGGGGGATTAAAGATGTTGACAGATTATTAGAACCTCGGTCTTGACTACGACGAGAGGGTCCTTCCCTCTATCGGAAACGAAGTCCTCAAAGCCATTGTCGCCCAATTCGACGCTGCAGAACTCATTACGCAGCGAGAGGCCGTGTCGAACCGCATTCGCGCCGATCTACTGAAGCGCGCCAACGAGTTCAACATTGCGCTCGAAGACGTCTCCATCACACACATGACGTTTGGCAAGGAATTCACCAAGGCGGTTGAGGAGAAGCAAATCGCACAGCAAGAAGCGGAGCGCGCGCGATTCATTGTAGAAAAGGCAGAGCAGGAAAGACAGGCCAATGTTATTCGCGCAGAGGGTGAGGCTGAGGCGGCGGACACGATTAGCAAGGCGGTGGCAAAGAGTGGTGATGGCCTTGTTCTGATCAGGCGGCTGGAATCTCAAAAGGACATTGCACAGATTCTGGCAAGAAACCCGAACATCAGCTACCTGCCTGGCGGGGCTGCTGGCAATGGTGGTGGGTCAAGCGGCGGCAGCTTCCTGTTGGGCCTGAGGTCGTAGATGGGACGAATGCAGATGAATGACGACGGGGGTGTGTGTGTGGAAAATGCCTTAGCCGGCGTAGCACCGGCGTATGGCTGCTGTACAATATACTAACCACGGGCATGATAACACTTCTCTACCAAATGTGAATAGCGGTCTCCTCTGTGTTTCGCCATTCTATTCTTGTGTCCTTGTAGCCTGGTAACAGAAAGACAAATCGTAATCGCCTATCGCTCCAGAGGCGCATGTCAAAGTTGTCGCTCTTGCCAAAATTGACGTTTTCCAAATTATCGTTTTCCAAGTCAAACGCTTGTCTCTATGTCTTCTTTTTGATAGACATGATGGGTGCTAGGTGAGAGACAAGGGAGTCAGAAAAGTCTAAAACCGTCACGGAAAGAGGTTTTTTTCCTGCAACAAATTTGACGCAGTCAAGAACCACACCAGTCGGTCAAGTATTACAAAAGAAGAAGAAAACGGAAATCCCCAGGCACCTTGGCTTTTCCAAAAACTTTGCCTTGGCCTAAACGTCACAATACTCAAATACTCATGTTTCTGTTTTGAAAAGGGAAGGGGGGGAGAGAAGAGGCTTACCATATCTACTCGCATCTAGAATCTCGCCTATACATAGTTTGTTACCCCCGGACCCATGTATGATTTCAAATCACAGAACAAAGGAAAGAAAAACAGAATGTAGAAGGCAAAGCGAAGAAAGAGAATCCCGCAAAAGGAAGGCACTAAGTTAGAAATGTTGCAGAAATTGTCATTTTTCTCAAACCGGAATGTTTTGACACATTGTCCGCCTCAGGCGCCTTTTCTTGATTGCTTTCGGTCGCACGGGCATCCGAAACTGGTCTCTGTCCCTCCCCCAGAATAGGTCGATTCCTGTTTAATGCAAGATGGAGTGAGTAGGAAACATGCAGCCGAATCAAATCTCCTCCGTTCTCCCCCGCGAATTCGCTTAGATAGACAGATGGATATGTGCACAATGGGGTGACCCTTGTGGATTTGGGTAAGAGAGCGGTTTGTGATTGAGAGAAAAGGGCCGGTCTGAGGATTCGAGGTTTGGAAGCTGAGGAATTAAGGTTTGTTCAAGGACGAAAACGGTCACGTGGGGGTGGTGATGGGAGGGATTGCGAGCCAGTAATGTGACGGATTTGGTTGTGGTGTGTGTGTTGCAACGCCTGTTTCGGAAGGGCAAATAGCGCACAGGCAAGCACGAGCAAGGCGTGATAAGGTGGCGCGGTCGTTACAATCCCAGTCGCAGATCCCGAGGGGAACGACAGAATGAGGACAACCTTCTTTGTCGTGTCCGCGACTCAGGTTGCTGTTTCTGAGTGTCACTGATGCATTAAAACATGGCGAGCGAAGGATGATTCCCAGGCAGCGACAAAACAGCGGCGGTCGGGGGATACGTGCTGGGCTGCTAGTGCTGGGCTGGCCGTCATGAGGGGTTTGGGCATGAAATTCCAACAAAAAAGAGCTGCGCCTCTTCGTCGACGGGATGCGTGACTGCGCTGGTTTACCGGGGTGGGAAAATGATAGGGCGAGAGGTGGTATTTGGTGTAGCATGGATGCCCTAGGCAGTCAGTCAGGTGGCTGTGCATGGGAGCAAACTTGCGCTGCAGCCAATCAGACGAGCTGTGGCCATGCAGCGTGGCTTGACAGCCTAGAATCCGCCCTGGCAGGCTCACCGGCAGGCGCTCTCAGCTGGTAGTAATCGTGGACAGCGCATTGCGGACTGGAACTATAATACTTTCCGGCAACCTTCGCGAGGGGCGAAGTTGTTCAGTACACGTCTCCCTTCTTACCCCATACGTCCGTAAAGGAAGATACGCATACGCCCTACGCAGTAGGACCCGTCCTTTTCGCTTAGCCATGGCTGTTGTTCAGCAGCAGCAGCGGTGCAGCAAGCAGACGAGCATCATCCTTACCCTTCGCATTCTGCTATTTGTCAAGCAGCTTCGTCGACGTGTCGAGCCGCGTGTGCACAATGGCTCATCAGTCGACTCGGGCAGACTTGGCGTAAGGCTATTCCGATCGTCGGGCGAGTCGCACACGCCGGCTTCGGCTGCTCCCGCAAGTCGAAACCTGGCTGGAGACAAGGTGCAACAGTACGTTTTTGGAAGCTTTTGTTTGGTTTCATCTGGCTCACATGTGCCGGCCGTAGGATGCTCAGCACACTCGACGGCAAAGTCGGTGCTAGTACAGGAAACGCTTTTTCAGCGACTGCGAGTAACAGCGCCCTCTTCCTCAAACACAGCAATGCGGCGATCGTCGAGGGGCGTTCCATGAACGAAACTATCCAACTCTTGGCTGCCGTGCACGGCGCCATCAACGTGCTTGCAGACTGCCGCGGGCAGTATGGCGACGAGTGGCTGCTCGCCCAAGGCCTCGAGGCGGGGCTGGTGCTCGACGACAGCTTCATTGCGAATTACGAGCACTTGCTGCTGCGCCTGCAGACTGACCTGGTCGCGGCACTGTCGCGTAAGGTGCTTGAGGAGTTGCTGCGGGGTGGGCACGACAAAAAGCAACGCAAGATGCTGGGTTGGTTCTCTGAATTCGCCGAGAAGCCACAGGCGCTGAGCACGTCGTTCCCGTGGACGATCAAGCCGTCGCTGGCAGTACTGTGGGGAGTGTGCTGGATGTTCTACGAGTGCGCGGGTCAAGGCCAGGGTCAAGGACAGGGACAGGGCGGGGAGCAGATGGGCAACGAGCGAGCGCGAGTGTCGTTGGAGTGTTTGCTGCAGAACATATCGCTGCCGTGGGATAGCGGTGCATCGTCCGACTGTAGGTGTTGCAAGCTTCTTTGGGGTTGTGTCTAGTACACAGCCGGCGGCGTAGAGGTCGAGGCTAACGCATTGTAGATGTCAGCCTGGGCCGGGCGCTGATTGGCTCTCAGGCGCAGCAGGGCGCCTCTCTGCATGCACAAGCAGCAAACGCGCGGGTGGATCTTGGGCACGGCGTGTTCCAGGCACGAAACACGGAAACCTGGGAATCCGACTTTGGGACGACGGGCAGGCTGCCGGCCTTGGTGGAGAGTCAGGCAGGGTCAAGGGCGGCCCCAGAGGCGGTTGCAAGTAAGTGCCTAGTCACAGTCGTGTGCTGTCCCGTCTGTGTTTGACTCACGCCTGCTCTCGATACCCAGGTTTCAGCCTGGAAGCATCTCGCACAACCCGCTAACTAATCCAGCGCCAGAAGATACTTATTACGCCCATGCCGCACCCTACTACCAGCCAGTCCAGCCCGTTAATTTGTATTCGCCTCATAGTCCAGGCTCTGCTGCGCCACTCACGGCCTATCCGCACCTTGGCAATCTCCATAATCCTACTCACCCTACTCCCTCTTGGCACCACTCCGCGTTGCCACCTCAACTCCCTCCGCGTCATCTGATTAACACTGCGCATAACCCGACAATCAGAGTCATCACCGTCCCGGACGACGACTTGTTTGCTCCGCCACAAACGGGCTTCGCGTCGCCTTCTATATATCGCCAACCTGAGGCCCCCCTCAACTTGAACTCCTCCCCTTACTACCACTACTCTCCCTCCCACTTCAACATGACTGATCTCGCTCCCACCACCGCGCCTACTCTGCCTGCTCCCCACGAGCACAAGCGCACTTCCTCAGTCAACTCATTACTCGGCGACATGCCCACTCCAGTTAGCCTGAGCTGTCCGCGCTCTCCCATCATGACTTCACCAACGGCCGGAGAGCGCAGACAATCACTGGCTGCTAGTCCCCCAAGATCCCACAGCAGAAGTTTATCCGTCGACTCCTCGCAAGATGGTGACGACGACGGATCCCTACGGAAGAACCACAGCTATAAGCGCGCCGAGGAGCCGCCGCGCAACGAAGACGGCAAGATGGTCTGCAAGTACCAAGAGTGCCAGGGCGTATCATTTGATCGCAAGTGCGAATGGAGGTAAGTTTTGTTCCCCGCACCCCAATATTACAACTTGAAACCACAGATTACTAACCCTAGCCTACAGCAAACACATGGACAAGCATGATCGTCCCTACAAATGCAATGCCAAGGGCTGCGAAAAGCTTCAGGGATTCACTTACAGCGGTGGCCTTCTCCGCCACGAGCGAGAGGTCCACAAGATGCACGGTGGAACTAAGAAGTCACTTTTTTGTCCGTTCCCTGACTGCAAGCGCAGCTCCGGCGCCGGCTTCACGCGGAAAGAGAATCTCGCTGAACACATCCGCCGCGTCCACCGGAGAACGTCAATGTCAGCAGACTTGCACGGACTCGTTATTCGCCGTGACATGGTTCGTCGCGAGATTGAAGGGTCCCCCATCCGTGAGTCACATGCTCCAGAGTCACCTTACATCCGTCCAATGGAGTACCGCGAGGAAGAGGACATCAGCATGAAGCGCAAGCGTGGTGCCTCTGACTCTGAAGTCTCTGAGCGCGACAATGACGAGATGCGCTCTGAGATCAAGCGTCTGCGACAAGAGAACGAGGAAAAGGACTCGCGGCTCAAGCAGCTGGAGCAAGCCGTCATGGCGCTCCAGCAGCAAGGCCGCAGATAAACGTCTGTCAGATTTTGCCACTGGGTTTTCTTTCTTTTCTTTTCTTCGAGGAGTTTGATTGATCACTGCATTGGGAAAGGAGTTTGGGCAACGGTTTCGGTTCGCCCCTTTTTTATCTGTCCATAACACTCTCCTCACAATTCCCTACCCATACCCCCACAAGCGCGCTCATTGTATATAAATCTCTTCCCCGAGCGACTATGATCTCTCCAAGTCTACATCTTAAACTGTAATTTGTTTTTGTCTTTTTTTTCCTTACGTCACATCTGGTCAAGAGATATGGGGGAGAGGCATGGCTGGTACATGCATGGCACGCCACACATTCTACGAATTGAAATGCCCCTTGTTATATTCAAAATGCGAAATTGGAAGGGAAATGGGAAGGCGCAGAAGCATATTATACCACTCGTTGATTATTTTCTTTATCATTCATCTCAATCTTTTGTACGAGTTAATTGTAGTTTATTATTACATGAATAAGAAAAAATAGGAAGAAGCACAACATCAAAACACTACCAAAAGATAGTCTTTACTGTGCACCCGAATCTTACATTTTTTTTTCGCATTTTTGTCCCTAGGAATCCAAGACATGAAGTCAAGTTTACCTTTTCAGGACAAGGCCACCATCTTAATACCGTTTCGGCCCCCAAAAATTCAACCGTGCCACCAGATCGCATGCGCATATGCGCGCGCGTGGTATAAATTAAAATCTTACCCAACCCACCCACTCACACACACACACATTCCACACATACATACCCCTGCCCCCGTTCTTGATGCCTAGTAGGATTCTGCCTGACCCGCCCACCCCGTCAACACTCGCATATTTCGTGCACGCTACAGCCTTGCCTTGCTGACTTTGCATTCCCACCCCGACATTCTAGACCGGTATTCGCGCCCTTGGATCATATTTACGGAGGCGGTAGTGCGCCTGATTATGCCACAAAGCGACTAGACCACTTTTTTTTGTGTGTGTTTGTGTGTGTGGGTGGGTGTAACAAGCATCATGTGGGTTTATGGCGTACTCAGGTTGCAGGTGTTCGCAGGCAGCCACCCCCCTCCCCCTAACATCTACCAGCTATACTACACTACTACAGGGCTACGCCACTAGTCTATCTTTCCTGGTCTGTCTCACGCACACACACACATACGCCCCGAACTCCTCCCCTACTTGGCAATTTCTGGAAGTCCCGGTATGAGACATTTCTACGTCATCTTATGTGTTTTTTTGCCTGGTTACCTTAAAACGCCCTTTTTTGGTTGCGCATTGTTGGCTTTGTTTGGAGGTGTTAGAGGGCAGGGGGGGGGGGCGTGAGGCTGGCGTGCATGAGGAGGGTTATGAGTCAGATGAAGGCGATGATAACTAGAGGGATTTATTACTGTTGGACTAAAGGGGGAAATGGAAGGGCTAGGCTGAAGGATGGATCATGTGATGGCGCGTTAGCGTGTTCAACGCGCTAAATCTCCCTCTTTTAGTCTTTCCTTGTTTTTTCTTCCATGGTTTTCTTGTTTGTTTGTTTGTTTGGTTTGGTTAGGTTAGAGTGGAGCGATTGGCGCCTCCTTGTGGATTGTTGCTGCCTTGTATCCCGTGTGTGAGTGTTTTTCTTTGGGTGGCGCATGATTAGGGATACATGGCGGACGAATGGGGGAACGGGACCGGGCGGAACGCGTAGGTGGCTAGTGGCTGTGTACCGGATTTTTGGCGAAGTATTCCGTCGGATGAGGGTCGGGATTAGGCATCAGCTTTTTTTTCTTGATTTTGAATTGAATGGAACGGACGAAAACATGAGGTGTAGTGGTGTGGATGGATGCAATGTTGCGGAGCGGAGTATACAGTGATATCTCGCCGATGTGTGGCGGTGGCTGTGTGCATCTCGGACATTCGGGTTCCTGATAGAGTCCGAACGGGTAGTGACGCCACTGACGTATGAGAATGTTGCGAGGTCTTGTATAGTGTAGATAAATACTATAGGTTTCACTCATATATCCTAGACTCCAACATAGCCCTCTTTCCCCAGCTGTCAATATGTTCA